AGATTTGGGCACTGATAAGTGCCTAAATTGGAACGCAGTACCCTGGGTAACATGCTATAAATGACAGGTGCAGTACCTCGCTTTATTAGCTGGGTGATCTGCCATATGACAATGACTTCAAATGAAATCCCAAGTTAAAAACCTTAGGAAATGATGGCACTCCCCCATAACATTGTTAAGACAAAGACGTCACCTCATATCATAAAACTCATGTCATGTACAGTGTCAACGTTTATGATCACTGTTTGATTTACAGTTACAAGATGACATGGTGTCATACCTTGAGTTGTTCTGAACAGAATGAGCCTATGTTTGTCTATTGTGAAGAAAATTAGCTGTGGAACACACTTGAATGCACTCATGACTCCTTTCAATGCGCACCAAAATTACAATCTGTTTCTCTGAATTGCCTTGTGAAAGCCTAACACTGTAAGATCGTATTTTAGAACTTAGCTAGTCATGTTGGCATTAGAACAAGCTTTCAAATTATGCTCACCTGACCCAGATTGCGATTTATAATGGGCCGTTCTTGGATTGCGTAAACAACCATAATTGTGTGATGGCGGGGATGCAGGGTTGTGTTAACTACAAGTGTGCTTGCTCTAGTTCAACAGCACAGCTATGAGAGCTAAAAAAAAAAAAACGTATAGTTGAAGACTCAACTTTGTCATTGAAATTACTTAGGAACTGTGCACATTTTGAAGAGGTGTGTGTGTGTGTGTGTGTGTGTGTGTGTGGCCACTTGGAGACACCAGTTAGTCCTCTCACTATGGACTAAGAAAGAGTTAGTCCATTCCTACTTTGTGTGTTGTGAAATCTGTGAATGTAATGTTTTTAAAATTGTATGAACTGCCTTAATTTTGCTGGACCCCAGGAAGAGTAGCTGCTGCCTTGGCAGCAGCTAATGGGGATCCATAATAAAAACAAATACAAATACTTTATTTCTATAAATTCAAACCATTGCAAATAGGGGTGTGACGTTTTAAACGAATTTGGGATCGTTAACGTTTAGAAAAAATCCCTAACTATTTACACAACAATGCTGTAAATAGGAGATGTATTCATCTTTCAAATTATTTGCCAGATTGAGGCCAGTCCCCTGGACTGAAAAGCATGGTCATTGGAAATTCTCCATTGAAATTGCTTTTTAGTCCAGGAGTAGATTTAGTCTCTGACCGGAGCTCTATAGAAATAAAGTAGGAATGGACTCTCTTTCTCTTTAAGGTAGAAAATGCAAAGCGCCATCTGTTGTGGACATGCTGACAAAAGAAGAAGAAATGATACGAGTTAATGAGATTGTTTTAGAGAAAATAGTGTTCATCTACTCCTATTAGAGCTTTAGTGGAAGCTGCCATGTAACATTTTGTCTATCGGTTTACATGTCACTTTTCTACATTTTATGACTCTTTCAATGTATAGGAATTGGTGGGCTTTTTCAGGTATGTGCTGTAAATAAAAACTATTTGGCTAAACAATTCAAACAAGGCAGTAATTTCAAATATTAAGGAAATATATTGCAATGAAGTGGGTAAAATAAGCAATGCACATGCAGTAGATCAACACACTGAAGAAAACAACCATACATGCAGTAAAGAGATGGAACACAGACCGTGGGGGATAGAAGGACGCCGTCACTGGCGCCCATATATATATATATATATATATATATTAAGTTGATCTAACAAAGTGGATATTTGTCAAATCTGTCATGATTGTGTTCCAACAGGCCACAAGGTGGTTACTAAAATCCAATTTGAATATATTTGGCTGTTCTCGCTGCACAATATTTAAAAGTTGTCCTTTTCAGGTTTACAAAAATGTCTGCTAAATGCCAACTCCCGTTCGTATAAGCTGGTAGCATAGCTAGCATATAGAATTCGGTGGTGGTAGTCAGTCATTTTTAACTGTAATGCAGTTGATTGGTGACGATGACATTAACATGTATTGGGGTTAATATCTATGCAAGCATTATATTCTGATTTTTACCCCAACAGTGTGAAATACACAAACAATAGCCCAAATGTAGGCTAATTTTGATGGGCGGCAATGAGGAGATTCGGGATCTATCCCCCACAGACGGCGTGTGGGTGGCTTTTCCAATGTTTTGGTCAAAATCCATTGACCTCTTTACGACATTGCATGTATTTGTATAAAAAGTGTATTACTCTTGATCACATAAGAAGCATTAACTAGTTTAGACACCCATGGCTTCAATTACAAAATCATATCCAATAAAGACGGTCACTAGCCAGGAATACTGAACATCAATTGGTAGAGTAGTGCTCTTCTCAGGAAGTACATCAAACTAGTATTTCCACATTGTTACTGGGATCCAGTGAAATACACAATTTTCGTTGACCATAAGTCCAGGGGTAGGCCTAGCTCCTGTTCGCCACAGCTATATTATTCATACACAACATAACCTGGATGTTTTATCTATAGATGGATAATCAATCCATACAATACAGATTTACTATTGGAGGAATGGCATTTCCTCCAATATCCAACTAAAAGCCTTTCTAATTGCGCCAACACATTGTATATCAGTACCATATATTCTTCTGTACAGTATGTTAGATATTGTGCATCTTAAATTTCATGCCAACTTCAGAAGTCCATGTTTGCTGTCAGGGCTCTCTCCTCTACCCCCTTCTCTTCCTCATCCCACAAAGTCCCTCACTTCTTCCTGAGATACATTTCTGCCGCATCCCATTTTTTCCATTCTTGCGGTCGTAGTTCTGAGCACTCCCAAGCTATGGATGACTGTTTCTAAGCACTTTGTCTGAGGCCGCTGCCATGTGGTCTCACCGGTAGACCACTGAATTGAGCTTGTGAAATGTGCGGTTGCACCCTCAAGCACTTTAGTGAAGAAATTAATGGGACACCATTCACTTTACCAGAAACTTGTGCAAACTCACATTTCAAGACCATATACCGCAAGACTAGAATGGGTCAAGGCATTCCTCTTTCCACTCTTTTCTCCCTTCTCCAAAATGTCCATCTCATCCTCTCAAACAATGTTCCTCTCTAACATGGGTTCCTTGGTCATGATGCATTTGAAGCTGAGGGCGCTCAGATCCAGGCTCTTGAAGCCCCCGTCCAGGATGAGTTCGGCCATGGCGCGACCCACTACCGGCGAGTGCTGCAGCCTGCGCCTGCTGAAGCTTGTGGCGAAAAACATGTTGACCATCGGGTGCATGCCCACGATGCCGTTCTAGTCGTAGAAGCCGGCCCATGCGCTCGTCACCTGAAAGGAGTGAAGAGAGACGGGTGTTAAAATTTGAGGGATAGAAGTTATCGGCAAGGATATGGAGCTAATTCGAAAGCAGTACAAAGGACCAATGGGGAAGCAGAAACAGTAGCGATCTATTTATCAACTGTACTGACTTTCCATTAGAAAAGGGAATGTTTATTAGAGCATACGGAAGGTACCACCCTGTTTCTTCCATTTGGTGCCTACTGAACATAACCCAGTTTTCACAGAGGCAAGGAAGGTTGCAACCATTTAAGACCCATATTACTATGTAATTCTGTGGTTGCAATGGCACATCAATTTACCTTGAGGCACTCAAAGGCAGGGACACGGTGGGCCAAATGGGGCCAGATCTTCTCCTGGAAGAACTGGTGGTCCACCTCTAGGTTATTGGTCTCTGGCTCCTCTTCCTGAAGGGGTTGCAAATAATGAACACCACTTCCCAGACTCCTTTGGGGCGAGTTCAGTAGAGCAAAGACGGGAGAAAGGAGAAATCCCTCAACTGAGTTCTGTCTCAAAGCGTTTTCTCCCATTTTTGTGCTTACTGAATGCTGTTTATTTAACCATTATTCATTGAGGTTAGCCTAATTTAGAATCTAGGTAACATTTTTGAAAGCGCAACCTCGTCAGGTGAGTCAGGGCTCCAAAATTAACAGTTGGAGAGAGAAATAGGGCAATCCTCTTCCTCACCTCCTCTGGTGACATCCCAGCAATGTAGTTTCCTCCCAGCCCCACTCATCTTAAGAACACTCCAGAGGAGTCTACAAGGAAGGGAGTGTCCAGCCCTGGCCCATTTGGACAGTGGACCACATAGATGAACCTAAACGAAGACCCACAAGAAATACACAGATATCAGACAGTACCACAAACACATAATATACAGAGACCTAATACAGTTAGCTTTTTCCCCCCGGAGTAGCCTGTGAATATTATGATATCATCAGTGTTATGACCGATACCAATAAGGGGTGGAAGAAACTAAACTGCTGTCAGCAACATGATGTACATGGACAAATAGTCCCCTGTAGCTCAGTTGGTAGAGCATGGCGCTTGCAACGCCAGGGTTCTGGGTTCGTTTCCCACGGGGGGGCCGGTATGAAAATGTATGCACTCTAACTGTAAGTCGCTCTGGATAAGAGCGTCTGCTAAATGACTAAAATGTAAATGTAAAATGTAACAGTAAACATCCCCTACAAATGATGCAGCACACACAATCCCCCTCCCCTTGGACCAATTGAGATATCGCTTGTGACTAACAAATTTCAGTTATTGTGCATGACCACAGATTATCCATTAAATTGACCAGATACTCAAGTGGCTGCTCTAACAATGAAAATAAATGTGTTAAATGGAAGGCAGTTAGCCTGGGTACCAGTCTCTTTATCTAATCCACCCTCAGTTAATTACTATAATGCCGCCTTGGGCCAATTAGTGTAATTTTGTAAATGCCAGATCTCTATGGCAAGATGCATCATTCACCCAAGTTTAGCCAAAATTGGGCCAGTGCTGTCTAAGGTCGCGTGTGACTAACGGACAGACGGAGACTGATCCACAGTCCCCTCCCTGATTTCATCATAGGGGACAACAATCTGTATTTTACAGTAATTTGGACATGTTCAAGTAGTACCTCCCCATTTCGAAATGTTTCTCCCTACTGAATGCGACCCAGCTCATACAGTAGCTAGGACCTCTCAACCATTATGGTCCATTCCTAAGTGTCTGTCCCTGGTGTCTTGAGTAGGTCCAGATGCCCAACAGTCTGGAGTACCAGCCTGTGGAGTGTGCCATCGTGGTGAACGCTGCAGGGGCCTACTCCGGTAAGGTGGCAGAGATGATGGGCATTGGGTTTGGCCTGAGAGACACCCTTGCTGGCATCCCGCTACCCGTGGAGCCCAGGAAAACGTACGTTGAATAGAGCAGCATGAATGGATGTAGTAGGAACACAAATTCCCCCCCCCCCCCCCCAACAATGTATTTACATTTTAGTCATTTAGCAGACGCTCTTATCCAGAGCGACTTACAGTTAGTGAGTGCATACATTCTCATACTGGCCCCCCGTGGGAAACGTGACCTTGTGTTTTGTTGCAAAATGTTTTGCCCTACTAACAGTTTTTTTTCCTTCTGTCAACCCTGCATTGATTAACTGAAGTGATGATCTTGGTGTTATAATCTTTTGATCTTGATTCAGGAATTAGTTGTTTCTAATCTGCACACTAAATTAGAGTTAGCCCTCAAACACAGGAGATCACAAGGTAAACACAGCAACTGAATTGGAGTCAATGTTTAGTGAAAACTGTCCTTGCACAAATCAGGAGTTATACTACATTAGCATACTTGATTCTCCTGAAATCCACCTTGTCTCCTTCTGCAGTAGTCATTGTGTTTGTGGTGTACCTAAAACCTGAAACATAGCATCGCCAAAATCAACATCACCGATATACAGCTCGGTTAGATTGGTTTAGCTTGGCTCAGTAGTGTGTACATGGCTTGTCTGTTCCACAATGCTGTGACATTGGCACAAGCACCAACCTGTGACTTCTCCAAAGCACTGGTAGACTCCCATGGAGATTGCCTTCTGTCTGAAAGCGTTCAACAGCGTCCAGGGGTCAAACCAGCCCTCGTTCTCCAGCCCTGGGGGCAAAAAGGGCAAAGGGAGGAGGTGACATTGTCAAAGTAGAGATCACTTGGGAGAAGAGAGCCAGTATATGCTTAACCCAGAAAGGAAGTCATTTAATTGGTTCTAGACAGCAAAATCATTCGGCGTGTCTGTGCAAGGTTGCAATTTATTGATGGATTGCTTTTTTCATGCGAGCAGTGTGTACGGACCCTCACAGGATTATATTGTTCCACTGATTACATCAACATTACTGGAAAAGTTATGCAAGACATACTCCCTAGTGTTCCAGAAGCTGAACCCCTTACACTTCTGGGAATTGGCCTATATGGATAGGGCTACATCCAAATGTTTTTTGTAGAAGAAATATGGAAATGCATAACCATGGTAGCAATTAAAAGGGAACAGTTTGGAGATTATGGGAAAATTATTAAACTAAAAAGGTGAGGACAACAGTTGACACAAAACTGAATCCAAACATTACACTTGATTTGATGTGCATTTTACATTTACTGTACTTTACGTGGCATTTGTTGATAACGAAATCTGAAAATACTCTGGCTACATTCAGTAACATAAGAATATTCCTGGTAAATGTGGGGTAGGTGCAACATAAGACAAAACAAATTACAAGGGTTTGAGTGAGAGGACTAACTGGTGTCTCTAAGTGGCCACACACCTCTCCGAAGTGTGCAAAGTTCCTAAGTCATTTCAATGCACTTATGACTCAAAGTAGAGTCTTCAACTATAAGGTGCTTTTTTTTGCTCTCCTAGCTATGCCGTTGAGGAACTAGAGCGAGCACAAATGTAGTTGTTTTGTTTGGAAAACAGCTCTGCATCCCCGCCTTTACACAATTACAGTAGTTTTCTTTTACGCAATCCAAAAATCAGCCCATTTTATAAATCACAATTTGGGTCAGGTGGGCATCATTTGAAAGCTTTTTCCATTGCCAACATTAGCTAAATTATAAAATACGATCTTAGTGTTAGGCTTTCACACGGCAATTCAGAGAAGCAGATTGCAATTTTGGTGCGCATAGAATGTAGTCATGAGTGCATTCCGATGCGTGGTCTGTAGCAATTTGTCTTCACAATACAACAAACAGGCTCATTCTGTTAAGGACAACCCAGGGTATAACGCCATGTCATCTTGTAACTGTACATCAAACATAGTGATCATAAACGTTGACACTGTATATTATGAGTTTTATGATATGGCAATGTGAAGTGCACATTTGGACTCATGGGTGTTTGGCTTACTTGTATGACATGAAAGCGGTACTTATTATAATCTTCAACGTCTCATCTTTCAAAATTCATAGAGTCCTCGTAATTTACAGCATTTCCCTCACTCAGACCAGAAACATTTGCATGGGGGCAACTTATTGTCGCACGCGGTGCTCAAGTTCAGAACGGCTGTCAGTCAAAACCCATACAGAGCTGTGAAGCAGAGACCCTGAGTTCTGACGTCGTGTATTGCATGTTACTGTACAGCCACTGCGTTACAATTTAAGCACTTATCAGTGTCCAAATCTGCCATTTTCAACCTGTATACAGGTACGAGTGTAAAAGGTTAATCAGTGAATTAATTGATAGAGATGTGTCTTGACTGCTGCACTGAAAGCATGCTTAACTGGCTAACAGTACTTTAATTTAGAGATACATTGATGAAGATAGGGCGTACAACACACTGTGGCCTTTTTATTGTCACCAGCACGAGGTGCACCTGTGTAATGATCATGCTGTTTAATCAGCTTCTTGATATGCCACACTTGTCAGGTGGATGGATTATATTGGTAAAGGAGAAATGCTCATTAACAGGGATGTAAACAAATTAGTGCACAAAATTTGAGAGAAATAAGCTTTTTGTGCGTATGGAACATTTATGAGATCTTTTATTTCAGCTCATGAAACATGGGACCAATACTTTACATGTTGCGTTTATATTTTTGTTCAGTATAATTGTAATTATTTATGTTCAATTCTTTGTCCTTCTGTGATGTTTATTTAACTGTATTACTATTTTTGATGTATTAGTCAACAGTATTCTACCGTTCCTCTTAATTCACTCTGAGCACAAAAGCCCTTAGCTGAATACTCTAATTACATTTTGATCAATTAATGTCAGTCTTTGAATCCTCCATTGTATAAACTATTTAATTTTCCTGTATGTGTGCTATGTGCACTGATTTCAAACAATTAGAGTATATTTGCTAAATATGTGTATGCGACCAATAATATAATTTTATTTTTATATTTGATTTGTCATTCTCATGTCTTCCTCCAATTCTTTGTCTTTAATTACTTCCTTGATTTACAATCAAAATAGCTAACATTACTTTTTCGATGTGAAAATAATATTACATTTATAGATTAAGCACTTTCACTTAATTGGGATAAACAAGATTTAACTCCTGTGGTGTTTAGGCTTAACACATTTACCCTTCTACAAGTTCGAATCTGGACAAGGGTGAGCGGTTTGACAAAAAGAGACAGGTTTTCATAAAAGGTTATGGATGATCATGATGATTTATGGGGTTAGAGCAGGGGTGTCAAACTCATTTTAGCTCAGGGGCCACATGGAGGAAAATGTATTCCCAAGTGGGCCGGACCGGTAAAATCATGGTATATATAACTTAAAAACAACAACTTCAGATTGTTTTCTTTGTTTTAATACTATCAACATAAAACATAAAGCTGGAGCCTGAGGACAGTGTGTCCAAAATAGTACAAGCACAACATCACTATTAATCATAAAAAAACCTCAAGTTTATTTGAAAATTCTAAAGAAAAAGAACACACAAACACACAATGCCTCAGTGATTCACAGAACTGTTTCACAGATCACAGAACTATATCAGGGTGTCATTTCTCAGGCAGAAATGTAGATACAAATAATGAAATCCTGTTCCCCAAACAAGTGCAAGAACCACAGAGTCAAGAATAGGTTAAATATACAAATAAAATAAAATCAATTAAAAACAATAGCACATCAACATAAAAACATATAAACATAAAGCTGGAGCCTGAGGATAGTGTGTGTCACGGTTTCGGCCGAGACTGCTCCTCCTCCTGGTTCGAGCAGGCTTCGGCGTTCGCCGTCCCCGGAGTACTAGCTGCCACCGTTGAATGTTTCGTGGTGTGATTGCTTTGGTCTGTCTTGTACACCTGTGTCTGTTTGTGTTCTGATTACGTGTCCTATAAGTTCCCTGTTTTGTATTGGTTAGATTGTGTGTTGTTGTCTGCCTGTCGTTCGGAGCTGCGTGTTTGCGCTCTGTTTGTTTTGTTTAGTGTTTACGCATGTTTGCGTAATTCCCTCGCCTCTGTTTTTGTTCGAGGTCGTGTATTGTACTTTTGCTCTTTGGACTAGTAAAGTCTGTTGGACGAAGCCTCTGTGTCCTGCGCCTGACTCCTCCACCACATCCACATCGGTTCTTCTGACAGAACAACACACCTACTATGGAGTCAGCAGGAGCAGTGGCGGCACCCAAGTCGCTGGAAGAACGGATCAGCTATCAGGACACCATGATCCGGCAACTTGGGGCCGCCATGGACGAGGTGTCCAACATTCTGCGCCGGTTGGTTACTGGAGAGGTGCCCACGCCTTCTTACACCATCCCATCACCAACGGCCAGTCCTCCTCTCTCAGCACCGGAACCCAGTGGCATTCGGCTCTCGCTCCCGAGGGCATATGACGGTTCTGCAGCCGGGTGTCAGGGGTTCCTCCTGCAGGTGGAACTCTACCTGGCTACTATACACCCAGCGCCCTCGGGATACGAGAGCGTCTCCGCCCTCATCTCCTGTCTATCCGGCAAGGCGTTGGAGTGGGCCAACGCCGAATGGAGGGGAATAGACGCCGCTACCATCACCTACGCGGAGTTCTCCCGCCGCTTCAGGGCTGTCTTCGATCACCCACCTGAAGGGAAGGCGGCGGGGGAGCGTCTGTTCCATCTCCGACAGGGGAAGAGGAGCGCACAGGAGTTCGCACTGGAGTTCCGGACGCTAGCGGCGGATGCGGGGTGGAATGAGAGGGCCCTCATCGACCATTACCGGTGTAGCCTACGAGAGGACGTTCGTCGTGAGCTGGCCTGCAGGGACACCAACCTATCCTTCGACCAGTTGGTGGACATCTCCATCCGTCTCGACACCCTGCTGGCTACCCGCGGACGTCCCGAGTGGGGGTCATCCATTCCACCCTCCAGCACCTCCGAGCCGATTCCCATGGAGCTCGGGGGTGCTGGCGCTAGAGAGAGGAGGAGAGAGAACCCGAGGGGGGCCACCCCCTGCACCAACTGTGGCCGTGGAGGACACACCGCGGCCAGGTGCTGGGGAGGGTCTCCTGGGAGAGGGGACAACAGGTCACGCACTGGGGAGTCATTTCAGGTGAGTAGGCGCCCCACTTACCCAGAGCTCTCTGTTGGTCACATGAGTATTCCTGTGAGATTTCCACAGGTGGCACCTCATTCCCAGCATAAGGCGCTAGTAGATTCAGGCGCAGCTGGGAATTTTATTGATCAGGTATTTTGTTATAGGTTAGGAATTCCCCTTCGGCCGGTAGAAGCCCCCTTTCCTGTCCACGCCTTAGACAGCCGGCCGTTGGGGTCGGGGCTGATCAGAGAAGTCACAGCACCACTTAAGATGACGACGCAGGGGGGTCATGAGGAGATCATTCAGTTTTATCTGATTGACTCTCCTGCGTACCCCGTGGTGCTGGGGCTTCCCTGGTTAAGCGCCCATGATCCTACCATTGCGTGGCAACAGAGGGCTCTTATGGAGTGGTCTGCCCAGTGTGTAGGGAGATGTCTAGGTGTTTCCTTAGGGGCGACCTCGGTAGAGAGTCCGAACCAAGTGCCCGCAATGCGCATTCCCCCCGAGTATGAGGACTTAGCACTTGTGTTCAGCAAAACGAGGGCAACACGGCTACCACCTCATAGACAGGGGGACTGTGCGATAAATCTCCAAACAGGAGCGGCTCTTCCACGGAGCCGTGTGTATCCCTTGTCTCAAGAGGAGACAGCGGCTATGGAGACTTACATAGCCGAGTCCTTGGCACAGGGATACATACGGTCCTCCACTTCCCCGGTTTCCTCGAGTTTCTTCTTTGTGAAGAAGAAGGACGGGGGTTTGCGCCCGTGTATTGATTACCGTAGTCTCAATCAGATCACGGTTAAGTATAGTTACCCTCTTCCACTGATTGCGACTATGACGGAATCATTACGCGGAGCGCAGTTCTTCACAAAGTTGGATCTCAGGAGCGCGTACAATCTGGTGCGCATTATGGAGGGGGATGAATGGAAAACAGCATTTAGCACCACCTCGGGTCATTACGAGTATCTCGTCATGCCATACGGGCTAATGAATGCTCCTTCAGTCTTCCAATCCTTTGTTGACAAGATTTTCCGGGACATGCATGGGCAGGGTGTGGTAGTGTACATCGACGACATCCTAGTGTACTCTTCTACACGAGCCGAGCATGTAGCCCTGGTGCGCCGAGTGTTGAGAAGACTGTTGGAGCATGACTTGTATGTCAAGGCAGAGAAATGCCTGTTCTTCCAGGAGTCCGTCTCCTTTTTGGGTTATCGGTTGTCCGCGTCTGGTGTGGAGATAGAGGTAGACCGTGTGTCGGCCGTGTGTAATTGGCAAACTCCAACCACTGTAAAAGAGGTGCAGCAGTACTTGGGTTTTGCTAATTACTACCGGAGGTTTATCCGGGGCTTTGGACAGGTTGCAGCTCCCATTACGTCCCTACTAAAGGGGGGTCCGGTTCGTTTGCAGTGGTCAGCTGAGGCGGACAGGGCATTTGTCAAACTGAAGAACCTGTTCACCTCAGCCCCGGTGCTGGCGCATCCGGATCCCTCTTTACCATTCCAAGTTGAGGTAGACGCGTCCGAGACCGGTATTGGGGCAGTCCTGTCACAACGGTCCGGCAAGCCACCTAAGCTCCGCCCCTGTGCGTTCTACTCCAAGAAGCTCAGCTCGGCGGAGCGCAATTATGACGTTGGGGACAGGGAGCTGTTAGCTGTAGTCCAGGCCCTAAAGGTGTGGAGGCATTGGCTTGAGGGGGCTCAACACCCTTTCCTCATTCTGACTGATCACCGTAACCTGGAGTACATCCGGGCAGCTAGGAGATTGAACCCTCGTCAGGCTAGGTGGAACATGTTCCTGATCCGGTTTGTTTTTAAGATCACATACATCCCAGGGTCCCAGAACGGTAAGGCAGACGCCCTGTCCCGGCGGTATGACACAGAGGAGAGGTCCATTGAGCCTACTTCCATACTGCCGGAGTCATGTCTGGTGGCTCCGGTGGTATGGGAGGTCGATACGGAAATCGAGCGGGCACTGCGTACCGACCCTACTCCCCCCGAGTGTCCTGTGGGGCGGACGTACGTTCCGCTCGAGGTTCGTGATCGTCTTATTTATTGGGCTCATACATCACCCTCCTCTGGACATCCAGGTATTGGCCGGACAGTGCACTGCCTTAGCGTGAAATACTGGTGGCCAACGTTAGCTAAGGATGTGAGGGTTTATGTCTCCTCCTGTTTATGTCCGCGTCTTCCTGGCCGTCCCCGAGGCCGGGGTCGGCGCACGGCTGGAGCCGCGCGTCAAGGGGGGGGGGGGGGGGTACTGTCACGGTTTCGGCCGAGACTGCTCCTCCTCCTGGTTCGGGCAGGCTTTGGCGTTCGCCGTCCCCGGAGTACTAGCTGCCACCGTTGAATGTTTCGTGGTGTGATTGCTTTGGTCTGTCTTGTACACCTGTGTCTGTTTGTGTTCTGATTACGTGTCCTATAAGTTCCCTGTTTTGTATTGGTTAGATTGTGTGTTGTTGTCTGCCTGTCGTTCGGAGCTGCGTGTTTGCGCTCTGTTTGTTTTGTTTAGTGTTTACGCATGTTTGCGTAATTCCCTCGCCTCTGTTTTTGTTCGAGGTCGTGTATTGTACTTTTGCTCTTTGGACTAGTAAAGTCTGTTGGACGAAGCCTCTGTGTCCTGCGCCTGACTCCTCCACCACATCCACATCGGTTCTTCTGACAGTGTGTCCAAAAGCACAACATCACTATTAATCATAAAACACCTCAAGCTATTTGAAATTCTGAGGACAAACAACACACAAACACACAATGCCTCAGTGATTCACAGAAGTATATCACAGATCACAGAACTATATCAGGGTGTCTCATGCAGCACTTTAAGTGGGGTTGCATAGTTTATTTGACTCCTGATACCTGGCATCTTTTAGCTTTCACCAGCGCATCAATATCAGGCGTCACATCCTGAGTGGCAGCCAACTTCAGGATGTGATTCAAGTGCTTGTGCGTGAGCCTTGAGCGCAGCTTTGTTTTATTTATGCTCATTACAGAGAACTTGCTCACAAAGATATGTGGTTCCAAACATGCACAACAGTTTTGCAGCGAGGGCTGTCAAGTTGGGGTAACCTGGCAAGAGATTCTGATAAAATGTGTCCAAGCCAGCTGCGGTAAATTTGCCCTTCAAATCCGAGTCACACTGCAAGTATATTATTTCAAGTTGGATGCTGACGGGCAGATCAGAGGGATTCACGGTTAATGGCGAACAAAAAACGTTGAAGTCTTTCTCCAGTTCACCAAAAATCTGAAAGCGTTGCTCAAACTCCCTTAACAGTCCCGTTATTTTATCTTTGAACCGCTTCATGTCTGCCACATGTTGGGTCGCGCACACATTTTTCAGACAGGAGAAGTGAGCTGCATCACCACCGGCGAGTTGCGTCTCCCACAATGACAGCTTCAACTTGAAAGAACGTATGCTGTCATAATACTGTGTGGCAACTTTGTTGCACCCTTGCAGCTGTTTGTTCAAGTTATTCAGGTGCTCTGTAACATCCACCATAAATGCAAGGTCCTGCATCCATTCTGCGGAATGAAATTCTAACACTGGTTTGCCCTTTTCTTCCATGAACTGTTCAATTTCTTCTCGTAAATCAAAGAAACGCCTCAGCACAGCACCTCGGCTTAACCATCTTACCTCAGTGTGGTATGGCAGGCCATAGATGTGGTCTTTCTCTCTGAGAAGGCTGTCAAACTGACGTTGATTCAGGCTTCTGGATCGGATGAAATTAACAGTTTGGATAATATAATAATAATAATATAATAATAATATAATATAATAATATAATAAAAATAATAACCACCTTCATGACGTTATCCATCTTTAATGACTTGCAACACAAAGCCTCCTGGTGCAAAATACAGTGAAAAGTCCAAAAATCACGTCCTCCATTTGCAGATTGCACTTTCTCTCTGAACTTTGTCACAACGCCTGCTTTTTTCCCGATCATTGAGGGCGCACCATCTGTAGCCAGGCTGACAGCGCGGGACCAGTCCACTCTGACCCTGTCCAGCGCGCTGACGAGTGCAGTGAAAATATCAGCTGCTGTCGTTGTATCTGTCATCGGCACCAACTCCACGAACTCCTCGGTGACGGTCAATGTGTCATCAACTCTGCGGATGAAAATGGCCAGTTGTGCAACATCTGTAATGTCCGTGCTTTCATCAATTGCAACCGAAAACGCAATAAATTACTTTACTTTTTGCTTCAACTGGCTGTCCAAATCCACTGAAAGATCGGAAATCCTGTCTGCAACTGTGTTTCTTGTCAGGCTGATATTATTAATAATAATAATAATAATAATAATAATAATATGCCATTTAGCAGACGCTTTTATCCAAAGCGACTTACAGTCATGCGTGCATACATTTTTGTGTATGGGTGGTCCCGGGGATCGAACCCACTACCTTGGCGTTACAAGCGCCGTGCTCTACCAGCTGAGCTACAGAGGAAGCCTGGTACTTTTCAGGGCACACAATCTCCGCTGCCTTCATCATGCATGTTTTTACAAATTCACCCTCACTAAATGGTTTTGAAGCCACTGCGATTTCATTAGCAATGAGGTAGCTAGCTTTCACTGCAGCGTCACTGATGTCTCGGCTGTGAGTAAACACAGACTGCTGTTTCTTCAGACCCGCCAACAGTTCATTCACCTTCTCTCTTTTCCGCTGTCCTTGAAAGTTGTCATATTTGTCGGCATGAAGACACACATAGTGGCGACGAAGGTTATATTCTTTCAGCACTGCAACATGCTGTGAACACACCAAACATACAGCTTTCCCATTCAATTCCGTGAATAAATAGAAGGATGACAATTTTTCTTGGAACACTCTGCACTCTGCGTCCACTTTTCTCTTTTTTGACAGAGACATATTGGGGCAATGAGGGTGCCAAAGCACATAATGTTAAAAGTAGAAGCCGTAATAAATATCGCGGGCAAAACAAAGTAGCTCATCCGGACTGGCTGCACTTGCTTGACCTATTTGCTCTGCCCCGGTATAAACAGTTTGCTTGCTTAACACAATTGCTATTGCGCCATCCAGTGGACACAATTGGAACAGCAGTTTCTTTTATTGAAAAATTGCAGCTCATTTTTATACTTTACAAAATCATCTCGCGGGCCGGATTAAACCCGTTTGCGGGCCTGATCCGGCCCGCGGGCCGGACGTTTGACACCCCTGGGTTAGAGGAACGAGGATTGTCCGAAGAAGCCTGATGCTTTTCTACTCTCAGATTTTCACGGTAAGGAAAGGAAACGATTATAGGCTAAATACAGCAGCCGTGTTGGGATTCGATACAAGGTCGGCGTCGGCTAGTACACTACATGACCAAAAGTATGTGGACACCCTCTTTGCTGCTATAACAGCCTCCACTCTTCTGGTAAGGCTTTCCACTAGATGTTGGAACATTGCTGCAGGGACTTGCTTCCATTCAGCCGCAAGAGCTTTAGTGAGGTCGGGCACTGATGTTGGGCGATTATGCCTGGCTCGTAGCCGGCGTTCCAATCATCCCAAAGGTGTTCGATGGGGTTGAGGTCAAGGCTCTGTGCAGGCCAGTAAAGTTCTTCCACACCGATCTTGACAAACCATTTCTGTATGGACCTCGCTTTGTCCACGGGGGCATTGTCATGCTGAAACAGGAAAGGGCCTTCCCCAAACTGTTGCCACAAAGTTGGAAGCACAGAATCGTCTAGAATGTCATTGTATGCTGTAGCGTTAAAATTTCCCTTCACTGGAACTAAGGGGCCTAGCCCAAACCATGACAAACAGCCCCAAACCATTATTCCTCCTCCACCAAACTTTACAGTTGGCACTATGCATTCGGCCAGGTAGCGTTCTCCTGGCATCCGCCAAACCCAGATTCGTCTGTCGGACTGCCAGATGGTGAAGTGTGATTCATCATTCCAGAGAATGCGTTTCCACTGCTCCAGAGTCCAATGGCGGCGAGCTTTACACCACTCCAGCCGACGCTTGGCATTGCGCATGGTGATCTTAGGCTTGTGTGTGGCCGCTAGGCCATGGAAACCCATTTCATGAAGCTCCTGACGAACAGTTCTCGTGCTGACGTTGCTTCCAGAGGCAGTTTGGAACTCGGTAGTGAGTGTTGCAACCGAGGACAGACACTTTTTAAGCGCTACGTGCTTCAGCACTTGGCGGTCCCGTTCTGTGAGCTTGTGTGGCCTACCACTTCGCAGCTGAGCCTTTGTTGCTCCTAGACATTTCCACTTCACAATAACAGCACTTACAGTTGAACAGGGCAGCTCTATGAGGGCAGACATTTTACGAACTGACTTGTTGGAAAGGTGGCATCCTATGACGGTGCCACTTTGAAAGTCACTGAGCTCTTCAGTAAGGCCACACTACTGCCATTGTATGTCTATGGAGATTGCATGGCTTTGTGCTCTCTTACGTGATTTAACGAAGGGAAAGCTGTGGTGAAATACAGAATTGAAAGATGTGAGACAAGTCTGGTAAGCAGAGTCCATATTATCAATAAGTGTTGCGTCAAAAGACAGGTATTCATATTCAAGGCATTCACATTTTCAACTTATTTCAAAGATAAGTTATTATTATTATTATAAAACACCAGCAGGGGGTGAAAAAGTGTATGCATTGTGGAACCCATCATTAGCTTGTGTTTCCCTGGGGAACATATATACTGGTGCACCTTTGTGATAGCAGGTGGTGAAATGTTTGGTGAAAAAAGCATTTCACTGGAATTCCTTCATGAAAGAGGAGACTCTCATTCATACACATTCAGCTTCATTTAGGATTCTGGAGACTCAACCGGTAGGCACATGGACATTGTTGTGTAAAATTGTTGCCAGTTAGGTGTTTATTTGTGTTGAGAATTGAGACCAATTGTCTAATTTAGTATATATAGTATAATTTAGATAATATGACTACATTGAGATTATATATTTAATTTGAAATGACCTTACTTGAAGTAATGTATATTTATTTTTGTGTTTTGCCTTTAAAGGTTATCAACCTAACTAACTGACTAACTAACTAACGAACTGGAATTAAATAAAAGAAGTCAGAAGAAAATTGAGTTGTCCCTTGCGTCCTTCAGTCCTTAAAGAGGCCTTTTTCAAGTTTGGGCAAAGAGCTGCAGTGTGAACCATACACAACTTGACAATAAGGGTGGCAGATGAACTGGTCACTCTTGTGGGCTTATAGATGAGGGGATACAGATAGCTGGAGTATAAAGTATTAAAAACGTCATGTCAGGGAGTGGTTCTTACTTTTAAATAAGTTTATGTTGTACTCACCCAATAGAAAACAAATGTAATCTTCATTATTAATAAAATCCAAGGTTGATTCAAGGATATCAATAAAACTACCAATGTCAGAATCGGGTGGCTGATAGATGCATCCAATTACCACTTTTTTTACCACCAAAAAATGTACAGGAGGGAATTTCTATGAAAAGAGATTCAACATCAATGTTATCAGATGTAATTGCGAGGTCCTCTCTTACAAAGAATTGAAAACGTTTATGAACAAAAATGGACACTCTTCCCAGTCTTGAGGTTCTACAGTGGTGAACAGCATTATAAGGAGATATGTCATAAAGCATGGTTGTCTGTTCAAGAGTATCCCAAAGTATTTTGCTCTGATGGTTAAAAACACAGTACCTCATATGGTCGACATCTCTCATTTGCCGTCATTACAGATTGATGGGCATGATTTCACAAGTGATAATTGGCCAAACAAATTAATCCGTCATCTCTAAACCAACAATTTATTCCCTATGCAATTCAGCAGAAATTCCATATCTCAAATGTATTCTAAGCCCATTATTAGGACATGTTGTATTAATTACTTGTCTTTTCCTGTACCACCTAGTGAAGGAATTACACTAAAGAATATTTAATGATATATATCCCTTGGGAGAATTCCTTAGGCATAGATTCAAACAACAGACCATTTGTGTTTACAGCAACACATTCTGGAGTGATATGTATGACTGGTTAGAAACAAAAATATATCCAATAACCCAGTTTACTAGAGATAATGTCACTTTCTGTATAACATTTGGAAGATAAGAACATAGAATTTCTATTGAATGTTTTACTTATTTTGGGTACATTTTATATTCATAAATGTAAATGCATAAAAACACAGCCTTCGCTTATTGTATTTCAGAAGAAAATATATATATTACTTCGATTCATTGAAATGTATATGGAAAAAACGTTGTCAAAAGACTCTTGAAATGTATTAATGAATTAGATTTATTAGAAGGCCAAATAGCTTAGGTTATGCCTCATTTGTAGCCCATATTTTATTTTCTTATGGTTTATTTGCTTTTGTATTTTGGTTTGTTTATTTAGCTGTTGTAACCCTTGTGTGCTCTGTTTCCCACTGACTATTTGAATGTATATTACGCCTTGTTGTATTTGTACATTGGCAATAAAAATAAATTTATACAAAAACATTATCAGAAGCACGTGATAAATGACTTCCGAATCTTCTTTTTTTTTGAACAACCACCTGAATGGTTTGGGAGGAGACAAAAAGGCTTCTCTGCACACAAGCTATGGAGTGTGGGACTTCATCTATAATAATTTGGCTGTTCTAAATTATTTTGACCAGCAGGTGCCACAAGTGAACACTGTGCTGATCAAAGCCTCGAGTAATGAATCTATTTTCGACACAATAGAGCCCGCCAGCTTGAAGTGCTAACATCCGGGTTAATTTAGCCATCCCTATTGGGAAAATGAATTGGGAATGAATATGGTTTTGGAATAAACCCTGAAAATAAGATCTGAGGTTAACACAGGTTTAGGACATGACCTTTATGAATGATGTGCTTGATGTGTTTTTTATTATGACATAAATGCTTAAATATTCACAAAAAGTGACGTTAGCTTATGAAGGTTATCTCATAGAACAAAACTTATAAAATCTCCTAAGCCTGTTTTTTTTACCACATAATTTATTTTCGGTGTTTATCCAAAAACCCTACAAGAACGCCATTAATTTTCTCCATAGGCTTTGTCTACCGAACCATGGTGGAGTTAATGCCTACAAAAAGACGCCATTACTATTTCTCTCTATTGACTTGGGACACAAAGGCAGAACAATTACCTCTTTCTCCAGTAGAGGGAACTAAAGGTGTCTCTCCAGATTCAATACATTGACCTACTTCTGTGTCTGTGAACTGTCTGAACGTTAGTCTTATTTTTTTGAGAATACTTTCACTTTGACATTCTGTCATACTCAGGTCAGGTTAATAGCTGATACAGCGAGACATGGAAATAATTTTCACTCTTTATTTCAGAGCCATACAAAGCTATTTATGGCTCTGGATTATTGTAAATATATAAAAGGTTTTTGTGTGTGCTCCTGATAAGTGTGATATGAATAGCCATTATTCCAGTGTGTTCATAGGTCCTATGTGTCCATATGCATAACACTGGGGATTTTTAAAAATCATTTCATCACTATTTTTCATCACTATTCCTCCCCCCAAAATGTTTTCATCATCTGTAAAATACCTGCTAAATGGACTTTTAAAAAGTGTTTTCTTTTGAGAATTGATTGACTGTTCTTTTAAATTGCGTCACTTCTTCAACGAAGGGGGAGGGTCTTTGAGTGTCATATGATATTTCCACTAGATATTACAGCCACAGCTGTAAACTATATCGTAAAATAGCTTTTTGGTCTTAATTTAAGGTTAGGAGTGTGGTTAAGGTTTCGGTTACGGTTAGGTTTAAAATCACATTTTAAGAAGATAAATTGTAGAAATAGGCGGGGTTTAGGACTTTGTGGCTGTTGTCACTAGTGACGACCCCTTACCTAACCGAACAAAAATAACAAACATTCGAGGTGAACGATAGAGAACGGTAAGTGGAACCGAATGTTTTCTCAATGCGTATTCGAAAGATATGTATTTCAATGGTCTGACTGCGTAGGTATATTTCTCGATGATTGTTGTCATGCACCATTCTTTTAGGTTACAATACATGCCCTAAATCATAGCTACAGTAAATGAGCATGTATGTACCCGTAGTACCGTACAAGTAGCATACAACCTGTTACTTCAAGCACATATCATCATTGCCGCAAATAATCATTTAATCATGTCAAGAATTATACAGCTTGGTTTCAAAGCAATGTAGTTTGATGCATTTTGTATTTTTTTATTAATTGTCTAATTTTTATTTTAGTTTGAATCATTCTGTTTTCAGGAAATGTTTTTCTCAATTCAAAAAATGGGCAGCGTCACAGCATGAAAACCGGTTCAGAATACAGAAACGTATAGAACCGTGCACGTTTTCTAACAATATAGGACATTCACTGCAATCACGTCACAGTCACATTGGCCACGTTCTAGAATGAATAACTAATTGTTACATCTTGTTCTATCATATAATGGCTTTTACCCCCAGTTGGGCTACAAACGTGTTGTCATGGCAGCTGTGCGCATGACCCCTACCCCCACCTTCTCCCATAGGCCAACCATGTACTCCGCTCTTCATTTATAATATAACCTACCGGTCCGGTAGTTGTTTGTAATGGAAGTCGTGCTCACAGGCTATAACATATTATCGTTGAGTTTTGTCACGTTTAACCTTAACATCCAAAACCTGTTTCTGTTGTGTCCTTATGATATGGCATATGTTCATGTTTTGAGGAGCCAATGTTTGAGGCGACAGTAAGCCTAGTGGTCACAGAATACAGTGTTCACATTGTCAACAAGCATGTTAAAGAATTTGCGTTAACTCCAGTTATTATTGAAGAGCATATCTCAAGTCTGGCTGACTTGTCAAGGCAAGCAGGCTGTGGTTTAGAACCCCAGAAATCACATTGCTATAGGCTATTTTATCAGACATACTACAAAATTCCAGCCAAGATCGCTTGGTAATGTAACTAGGAACTAACGTTGCATCTATAGTACCAAGGTCACTCTCTTAGCCCTTATAACGACCTAAAATACCCATGAGTCTATCAGGGCTAATCTTCCTGGATTCATACTCAAACGCAAAATTATCTCAGTGTTAATCTCAGTTTGCCCTCAGAAGCACCTGATCTGGGCTATTAGGAGACACTTCTTTGATCCCATGTGTATCGGCATATAAACCAGAGGGTCTCTGATATGGGAAACCTTCTCTGACTGGACTTCACACAGGTTCTTGACAGAACCCTGTCTGTATGGTGTCATCATGTTCAGGGCTGGAAACATAACCACTTGAGATAGGCCTACTGGTTTATTGGCCGTTTTACACTACTGAGCCAAGCTGAACTGCACTGGCCTGGTTACGTATCCACCATAGTGCTGGAAAGGGCAAAGTGAAAATAAAATACCTGAGTTAGGCTAGTTCTGTACGGTTCGAGTCAGCATGATAGTGTGAAAAGGGTAGGCTGTGAGTTCAGATGGGTCCAGGCCAGAGAATCAGTTTGCAGACAGACAGAGCTTAACCCAACCAGATAGTGAAACTGATAAGTCTGATCATTTAGGAAGCACTGTAAGAATCAGACACCTGTGTCCTTACGACAGGAATGACAGATCTAACTCCAGACCTGGAGAGCCACTGAGAATGTAGGCTTTTGTTCCAGCCCAGCAGAAAAACACCAGTCCCTGATTTCAACTAATTGTGGTTCAGAGTCAGACTGAAGACCATGATTAGTTGATTATTTGAAATTGAAACAGTGCTGCCCTTAATGAAAAAAATATTGCAGTCAGAGTGCATTATAACTGCAGTACACTGCAGTATGCAGCAAATACTGCGTCCAAAACAAGTATTTTTTTTACTGCAGTCATTTTGCAGTGTAACTGCAGTTATTCTGCAATTACTGCATCGAAAATACCACAGTCGACTGCAGTTACTGCACTTTTACTGCATTTTAAAACTGCAATCTTTTTTTGTAAGGGTGGGCTGGCACTAAAGCCTGTGCACACAGTAGCACGCCATGACCGTTGGAGTTGGAAAGCGTGTATGGGCTTTTCTTTTGCCCCAACAAATAGACTGTTGCGTAAACTTTATGCAGGCTAAGTGAACCACAAATGTTAGAGATCAATGATCTCTGTCAGACTAGTATTAAATCAAACAAGAGAGTCAAACAGGATACATTAAAGTACATTAGATTAGAGTGAATCGTTGTTGCTTCCATTGAAATAGGTCATTATATTTCTATGGTTACTTCATTGAGATGATGTCAAAATGTGGAAGGATAATGGGGTCACTCTTTTAGCTCATGTGACACGCGCTCTCTTTCTTTCTTTCTCCCCCCCCCCGCCCTCTCGCTCCCTCTCTCGCTCCCTAAGCAGCAGTGTACGAGGGCTGTGCTGCGTGAGCCCCTGGCACTGCCTCCTCGTCCACCAGGCCTGGCCTGAGCCAGAGAGGGAGAGAGACGGCACCTCCACACCACACTACAGCCCAGAGGTGTCTGTCTGTCTGTGGTCCACATCAACTTCACCCCTAGAAGAGACATATTTGTGAGTCGATATTTCGGAACAGTTTCCGCTAACCTCAAGTCAATGTTTTGGAGCGTGAACAAGATTTGACTTGTTAGCATGTAGGCTAGCAGCAGACAAGTCAGTTGAAAGGGCATGTAACTAAAGCCATGTGCTTTATCTGTAAAGACCTATAGTAGCCTCTATATGCTATACCAAGTGTTTCCAAGTCTGATTGGCATGGACATGTGCTGTGTGGTGTACCCAACAAGTCCTACTATAGTTTGTAACCATACCTCTGGGTGTAAGTCTCTGTCTCTGTCTCTGATCAGACAGTTGGGGCCATGGAGACCTCTGATGAAGAGGAGGGGCGCACCTTCGTCCAGGTGGTCAGTGAGAAGTATAACCCAGAGAATTTCCCATACTGTCGTGGGAATGGCATGGGTGTCGTGGTACTGTCTAGTCCACAGGGGTCGCCCATCAAAGGTCAGAGGTCAAGGTGTTATAGATCCGTAGCTTATGCTGCCTTCAAATGCTCCTCGGAAGGAGGAAATACAAGGTTCCGACTGGACAACCATCACTTCCGAGTGGGAATGTTGGAGATAATTTTACACGAGTTGTGACATTTTATCACTGACCTGTCACAGTTTCAATCAAAAGATGATAAAGCAAATACATTTTTGACATTGTCAAACTTATCAATGTGGATAATGTAGCTAGTTTGACCATATTGTCAACGTTAAACAAGCTAGCTAACAGTATCATTAGCAATGTTAGCTAGCTCATCTAGCTAGATAAAATCAAATTGGTTGAGGAATTATTCCGACTTCAAAAGCACTTGAACACAATAAAGTCGGACTTACGACATCATAACTGTGAAGTTTCCCAGTTCCGACAAGCATTTGAAGGCTGCATTAGCGCGCTGACTTTGATTGAGTAATAACTCAGGGATTAGGTTGCCTATGCATCTTTTCTCTCTAGCATTTGTATGTTACCTGCTAAACTAAGTTGGTGGGTGCAATATGATTTATAGTCTAATGAACATGTCTGAAAAAGTTGTTATTCCTCAAAGCAGAAGAGTCAAGGGCCACACTTTACAGCCTACTTGCTGTTTTACAAAGAAAACCCGGAATTAATAGGTAATAACTCCATGTAGGCCTACTCGCATGCGTTGTACAGGGAAATCACACAAGTTATCATCTTCTAGTTATCCAGGAATACTGCGAACTCCATGTAGGCTTACTTACAGTATATCCCTTATATAGGGTATCCATACATCATAAGTCATTCTCTCATGCCTTAGCTCCTGAAGGATACTGCCTATGTAGTGATGCCAAAATAAGTAGGTGATACCAGGTTGTTGTCCCTCATGTATTGTGAATGTGATTCTTATTGACTGTACAGTTTGTGATTCAATAAAGAACAATTATGTAATAGAAAGATTGGTGTCTCCCTCCAGATCGTCTGAACCTGCCCAGTGTGCTGGTCCTGGATGGCTGTGGCATCAGTAAAGCTGGGGACAAGGCTGAGGTGGCCACCTTCTGTGCCCATGTGGTGGAGCTGGACTTGTCCCACAACCAGCTGCAAGACTGGGGGGAGGTGGGTACTGTAGTTTTCCTTATCCTCCTCACCCTTGCTGCCATGTTATGCACCATTTATTTATCAGCAGCTAGTAGGGGTGTAACGATCCATCGATGTATCGATTTATATTCCTATGATCCAACTACATCGATCTGTGCTCGGCGAGTTGGCCTTTTGGACAACATATATCGATCTAACATCGTTTTAAAATGTAATAAATCGATTGTATCGATACTAGGAAATAACCCATTGGATTTAAGCACGTCAGACTTTATATGGATGTTTTTTCTTAGCACTTTTAATGATAAAGGCTTTAAACATTACTCGATTCAGTCTGCCTATCCGTGACGTCATCGCGCCAACAGCAGCGCAAAGGCGCAAAGACAACAAAACATAGCATGGCGGACGACAGAGGAGAAGCCGACGAGCGAGAAATTATCAAGCCACCATTGCGGTCCTTACAAGAAACAGGAATCTAGGAAACTTCACCTGCACTGTCCAGTATCCAGGTATTTATTTCAGTCACACTGGTTGAATTTTTGGCTAAAAGGTTACTGAATCGATTTCAAGTCACTAAATCGTTTCGGATCGTATCGTTCTAAATGAACCAATATCGTCCTTGAATCGTATCGACAACCACGAATCGTGAAACAAATCGAATCGTTGTTAAAACGAATCGTTACACCCCTAGCAGCTAGCTATTAGCATGAAGGCTGGCAGTACACAGTCAATGTTACACATTTCATTGTTTTTATAATTTTTCATAATTTTCAGAGATTAACTTTTTTGATACAAGTTTGCCTTACTTTCTACACATATAAGGTGTTGTTTTATCCAGACAGTTTTTTTAAGTCCAATAGCTGTTTGTAATGTCCAGCCTCTCCTGGCTAGCATTTAAAGAAGCATGTAGCAAATGGAAATGGACAGTATCCACTACCAAAGCACCCAAAACAATTGCCCAGAGACATCATTGAACAAACAAATCCAACAAACAGTCTCTCAGTCAGTGCCAATGCCCACATAAAAAAAATAGGACAGTTTACTATAGTACTACAGTTTATTATAGTACTTACTATAGAATTCTATAGTATTTTGTAGCAAACTGTGGTATACTGTAGAAAATTATACTACACACTGTATTATCCCTCGATCGTGTAGTGCTTGCTATATAATTTAGTAGTATACTGTAAAATACTATACTGTATTTATATGCTAATATAAAATGTGCATATGCCCTGAGATATTAATAATAATTAATATCATAGGGACACACACAGATCCTGAACAGCGCTGGAGAAGATGGCTGCCGTTTTACAGCCCTCTAACCATTTGTACTATTATGTGTGTTTTTCCGCGTTATTTGTAATTTATTTTGTACATAATGTTTCTGCCATCGTCTCTTATAACCAAAAAGAGCTTCTGGATATCAGGACAGCGATTACTCACCTCGTATTGGACAAAGATTTTTTCTTCAACGAGGCGGCCGCGAAGGATATCATACAGACACCCGACAAGGCCCAAATCCCCGTCATTCGCGTGAGGAAGAGACGGAGATATCGTGGACGTAGATCGGGGTGCCTTGTAAGGATCCGACGGCGAGCGAGTAAACTGCCTCTTCCATCAATCCTATTAGCCAATCTTCAATCACTGGATAACAAATTCGATGACCTAAGATTACGGTTATCCTACCAACGGGACATTAAAAACTGTAATATCCTATGTTTCACCGAGTCGTGGCTGAACGACGACAATGATAACATACAGCTAGCGGGCTATACGCTACATCGGCAGGATAGAACGGCTGACTCCGGTAAGACAAGGGGTGGCGGTCTGTGTATATTTGTAAACAACAGCTGGTGCACAAAATCAAATACTAAGGAAGTCTCGAGGTTTTGCTCGCCTGAGGTAGAGTATCTTATGATAAGCTGTAGACCACACTATTTACCAAGAGAGTTTTCATCTATATTTTTCATAGCTGTCTATTTACCACCACAAACCAATGCTGGCATTAAGATTGCACTGAATTAGTTGTACAAGGCCATAAATCAACAGGAAAACGCTCATCCAGATGCAGCGCTCCTAGTGGCCGGGGACTTTAATGCAGGGAAACTTAAATCTGTTCTACCTAATTTCTACCAGCATGTTAAATGTGCAACCAGAGGAAAAAAAACTCTAGACCACCTTTACTCCACACACAGAGACGCATACAAAGCTCTCCCTTGCCCTCCATTTGGCAAATCTGACCATAACTCTATCCTCCTGATTCCTGCTTATTAGCAAAAACTAAAGCAGGAAGCACCAGTGACTCGGTTAATAAAAAAGTGGTCAGATGACGCAGATGCTAAGCTACAGGACTGTTTTGCTAGCACAGACTGGAACATGTTCCGGGATTCTTCAGACAGCATTGAGGAGTACACCACATCAGTCACTGGCTTCATCAATAAGTGCATCGATGATGTCGTCCCCACAGTGACCGTACGTACATACCCCAACCAGAAGCCATGGATTACAGGAAACATCCGCACTGAGCTAAAGGGTAGAGCTGCCGCTTTCAAGGAACGGGACTCTAACCCGGACGCTTATAAGAAATCCCGCTATGCCCTCCGACGAACCATCAAACAGGCAAAGAGTCAATAAAGGACTAAGATTTAATCGTACTACACTGGCTCTGACGCTCGTCGGATGTGGCAGGGCTTGAAAACTATTACAGACTACAAAGGGAAGCACAGCCGCGAGCTGCCCAGTGACACAAGCCTACCAGACGAGCTAAACCACTTCTATGCTCGCTTCGAGGCAAGCAACACTGAAGCATGCATGAGAGCACCAGCTGTTCCGGATGACTATGTGATCACGCTCTCCGTAGCCGATGTGAGTAAGACTTTTAAGCAGGTCAACATTCACAAGGCCGCAGGGCCAGACGGATTACCAGGACGTGTACTCCGAGCATGTGCTGACCAACTGGCAAGTGTCTTCACTGACATTTTCAACATGTCCCTGACTGAGTCTGTAATACCAACATGTTTCAAGCAGACCACCATAGTCCCTGTGCCCAAGGACTCTAAGATAACCTGCCTAAATGACTACCGACCCGTAGCACTGACGTCTGTAGCCATGAAGTGCTTTGAAAGGCTGGTCATTGCTCACATCAACAGCATTATCCCAGAAACCCTAGACCCACTCCAATTTGCATACCGCCCCAACAGATCCACAGATGATGCAATCTCTATTGCACTCCACACTGCCCTTTCCCACCTGGACAAGAGGAACACCTACGTGAGAATGCTATTCATTGACTACAGCTCAGCATTCAACACCATAGTGCCCTCTAAGCTCATCACTAAGCTAAGGATCCTGGGACTAAACACCTCCCTCTGCAACTGGATCCTGGACTTCCTGACGGGCCGCCCCCAGGTGGTAAGGGTAGGTAACAACACATCTGCCACACTGATCCTCAACACGGGGGCCCCTCAGGGGTGCGTGCTCAGTCCCCTCCTGTACTCTCTGTTCACCCATGACTGCATGGCCAGGCACGACTCCAACACCATCATTAAGTTTGCCGACGACGCAACAGTGGTAGGCCTGATCACCGACAACGATGAGACAGCCTATAGGGAGGAGGTCAGAGACCTGGCCGTGTGGTGCCAGGACAACAACCTCTCCCTCAACGTGACCAAGACAAATGAGATGATTGTGGACTACAGGAAAAAAAAGAAGACTGAGCACGCCCCCATTCTCATCGACGGGGCTGTAGTGGAACAGGTTGAGAGCTTCAAGTTCCTTGGTGTCCACATCACCAACGAACTATCATGGTCCAAACACACCAAGACAGTCGTGAAGAGGGCACGACAAAGCCTATTCCCCCTCAGGAGACTGAAAAGATTTGGCATGGGTCCTCAGATCCTCAAAAAATTCTACAGCTGCACCATCGAGAGCATCCTGACTGGTTGCATCACCGCCTGGTATGGCAACTGCTTGGCCTCCGACCGCAAGGCACTACAGAGAGTAGTGCGTACGGCCCAGTACATCACTGGGGCCAAGCTTCCTGCCATCCAGGACCTCTATACCAGGCGGTGTCAGAGGAAGGCCCTCAAAATTGTCAAAGACTCCAGCCACCCTAGTCATAGACTGTTCTCTCTGCTACCGCACGGCAAGCGATACCGGAGTGCCAAGTCTAGGTCCAAAAGACTTCTCAACAGCTTCTACCCCCAAGCCATAAAACTCCTTACAGCTAATCATGGCTACCCGGACTATTTGCACTGCCCCCCCACCCCATCCTTTTTACGCTGCTGCTACTCTGTTCATTATTTATGCATAGTCACTTTAACTCTACCCACATGTACATATTACTTCAACTACCTCAACTAGCCGGTGCCCCCGCACATTGACTCTGCACCGGTACCCCCCTGTATATATAGCCTCCCTACTGTTCTTTTATTTTACTTCTGCTCTTTTTTTTCTCAACACTTTTTTTGTTAAAAATAAATGCACTGTTGGTTAAGGGCTGTAAGTAAGCATTTCACTGTAATGTCTGCACCTGTTGTATTCGGCGCATGTGACCAATAAAATTTGATTTGATTTGAAAGGGACGATGGACGGGGCCATGTACCGGCAAATCTTGGGTGAGAACCTCCTTCCCTCAGCCAGGGCATTGAAAATGGGTCGTGGATGGGTATTCCAGCATGACAATGACCCAAAACACACGGCCAAGGCAACAAAGGAGTGGCTCAAGAAGAAGCACATTAAGGTCCTGGAGTGGCCTAGCCAGTCTCCAGACCTTAATCCCATAGAAAATCTGTGGAGGGAGCTGAAGGTTCGAGTTGCCAAACGTCAGCCTCGAAACCTTAATGACTTGGAGAAGATCTGCAAAGACAAAATCCCTCCTGAGATGTGTGCAAACCTGGTGGCCAACTACTAGAAACGTCTGACCTCTGTGATTGCCAACAAGGGTTTTGCCACCAAGTACTAAGTCATGTTCTGCAGAGGGGTCAAATACTTATTTCCCTCATTAAAATGCAAATCAATTTATAACATTTTTGTTGTTATTCTGTCTCACTGTTCAAATAAACCTACCATTAAAATTATAGACTGATCATTTCTTTGTCAGTGGGCAAACGTACAAAATCAGCAGGGGATCAAATACTTTTTTCCCTCACTGTGTGTATATATATATATATACAGTGAGGGGAAAAAAGTATTTGATATATATTTATATATATACTGCTAAAAAAAATAAAGGGAACACTTAAACAACACTATAACTCCAAGTCAATCACACTTCTGTGAAATCAAACTGTCCACTTAGGAAGCAACACTGATTGACAATACATTTCACATGCTGTTGTGCAAATGGATAAAAGACAACATGTGGAAATTATAGGCAATTAGCAAGACACCCACAATAAAGGACTGGTTTTGCAGGTGGTGACCACAGACCACTTCTCAGTTCCTATGCTTCCTGGCTGATGTTTTGGTCACTTTTGAATGCTGGCGGTGCTTTCACTCTAGTGGTAGCATGAGACGGAGTCTACAACCCACAAGTGGCTCAGGTAGTGCAGCTCATCCAGGATGGCACATCAATGCGAGCTGTGGCAAGAAGGTTTGCTGTGTCTGTCAGCGTAGTGTCCAGAGCATGGAGGCGCTACCAGGAGACAGGCCAGTACATCAGGAGACGTGGAGGAGGCCGTAGGAGGGCAACAACCCAGCAGCAGGACTGCTACCTCCGCCTTTGTGCAAGGAGGAGCAGGAGGAGCACTGCCAGAGCCCTGCAAAATGACCTCCAGCAGGCCACAAATGTGCATGTGTCTGCTCAAACGGTCAGAAACAGACTCCATGAGGGTGGTATGAGGGCCCGACGTCCACAGGTGCAGGACGTTTGGCATTTGCCAGAGAACACCAAGATTGGCAAATTCGCCACTGGCGCCCTGTGCTCTTCACAGATGAAAGCAGGTTCACACTGAGCACGTGACAGACGTGACAGAGTCTGGAGACGCCGTGGAGAACGTTCTGCTGCCTGAAACATCCTCCAGCATGACCGGTTTGGCGGTGGGTCAGTCATGGTGTGGGTTGGCATTTCTTTGGGGGGCCGCACAGCCCTCCATATGACTGCCATTAGGTACCGAGATGAGATCCTCAGACCCCTTGTGAGACCATATGCTGGTGCGGTTGGCCCTGGGTTCCTCCTAATGCAAGACAATGCTAGACCTCATGTGGCTGGAGTGTGTCAGCAGTTCCTGCAAGAGGAAGGCATTGATGCTATGGACTGGCCCGCCCGTTCCCCAGACCTGAATCCAATTGAGCACATCTGGGACATCATGTCTCGCTCCATCCACCAATGCCACGTTGCACCACAGACTGTCCAGGAGTTGGCGGCTGCTTTAGTCCAGGTCTGGGAGGAGATCCCTCAGGAGACCATCCGCCACCTCATCAGGAGCATGCCCAGGCGTTGTAGGGAGGTCATACAGGCACGTGGAGGCCACACACACTACTGAGCCTCATTTTGACTTGTTCTAAGGACATTACATCAAAGTTGGATCAGCCTGTAGTGTGGTTTTCCACTTTAATTTTGAGGGTGACTCCAAATCCAGACCTCCATGGGTTGATAAATTTGATTTCCATTGATAATATTTGTGTGATTTTGTTGTCAGCACATTCAACTATGTAAAGAAAAAAGTATTTCATAAGATTATTTCATTCATTCAGATGTAGGATGTGTTATTTTAGTGTTCCCTTTATTTTTTTTAGCAGTATATATATATTGCACAATTGGTAGATATGTTCTATGTAAATACTACTGGAATTGAAAACCGGTCAAGGTGTGTAGAAAGGCTTGACGTAAAGTATAAGGCTATATATGTGAAATATATTTTCCATAACCAAAAATATTCTATTTTCAGCTGTTTGAAGCTGGTCTACAAAACTTAATAACGAGAAGCATAGAAATAGTGCACATAGAACATATCTACTGTTTCTTAGACTTGCGTTCAATGAGCATGACAGATCTACAGTGGGGAAAAAAGTATTTAGTCAGCCACCAATTGTGCAAGTTCTCCCACTTAAAAAGATGAGAGAGGCCTGTAATTTTCATCATAGGTACACGTCAACTATGACAGACAAATTGAGGAAAAAAAATCCAGAAAATCACATTGTAGGATTTTTTATGAATTTATTTGCAAATTATGGTGGAAAATAAGTATTTGGTCACCTACAAACAAGCAAGATTTCTGGCTCTCACAGACCTGTAACTTCTTCTTTAAGAGGCTCCTCTGTCCTCCACTTGTTACCTGTATTAATGGCACCTGTTTGAACTTGTTATCAGTATAAAAGACACCTGTCCACAACCTCAAACAGTCACACTCCAAACTCCACTATGGCCCAGACCAAAGAGCTGTCAAAGGACACCAGAAACAAAATTGTAGACCTGCACCAGGCTGGGAAGACTGAATCTGCAATAGGTAAGCAGCTTGGTTTGAAGAAATCAACTGTGGGAGCAATTATTAGGAAATGGAAGACATACAAGACCACTGATAATCTCCCTCGATCTGGGGCTCCACGACCCGTGGGGTCAAAATGATCACAAGAACGGTGAGCAAAAATCCCAGAACCACACGGGGGGACCTAGTGAATGACCTGCAGAGAGCTGGGACCAAAGTAACAAAGCCTACCATCAGAAACACGCGACGCCGCCAGGGACTCAAATCCTGCAGTGCCAGACGTGTCCCCCTGCTTAAGCCAGTACATGTCCAGGCCCGTCTGAAGTTTGCTAGAGTGCATTTGGATGATCCAGAAGAGGATTGGGAGAATGTCATATGGTCAGATGAAACCAAAATATAACTTTTTGGTAAAAACTCAACTCGTCGTGTTTGGAGGACAAAGAATGCTGAGTTGCATCCAAAGAACACCATAACTACTGTGAAGTATGGGGGTGTAAACATCATGCTTTGGGGCTGTTTTTCTGCAAAGGGACCAGGACGACTAATCCGTGTAAAGGAAATAATGAATGGGGCCATGTATCGTGAGATTTTGAGTGAAAACCTCCTTCCATCAGCAAGGGCATTGAAGATGAAACGTGGCTGGGTCTTTCAGCATGACAATGATCCCAAACACACCGCCCGGGCAACGAAGGAGTGGCTTCGTAAGAAGCATTTCAAGGTCCTGGAGTGGCCTAGCTAGTCTCCAGATCTCAACCCCATAGAAAATCTTTGGAGGGAGTTGAAAGTCTGTGTTGCCCAGCGACAGCCCCAAAACATCACTGCTCTAGAGGAGATCTGCATGGAGGAATGGCCCAAAATACCAGCAACAGTGTGTGAAAACCTTGTGAAGACTTACAGAAAACGTTTGACCTGTGTCATTGCCAACAAAGGGTATATAACAAAGTATTGAGAAACTTTTGTTATTGACCAAATACTTATTTTCCACCATAATTTGCAAATAAATTCATTAAAAATCCTACAATGTGATTTTCTGGATTTTTTTTCTCATTTTGTCTGTCATAGTTGACGTGTACCTATGATGAAAATTACAGGCCTCTCTCATCTTTTTAAGTGGGAGAACTTGCACAATTGGTGGCTGACGAAAGACTTTTTTTCCCCACTGTATAACTCACATTTCTATGTGGGTCACTGAAAAAGTTACATATTACAGCTTTAAAGGTTTAATAGAGCATATGCAAATGAAAAGACAGACACGTTCCTCTAAGAGGTTCGCAGCAAATCTCTCCCCCTCCAGAGGGGAGGGCAGACCTAAACACTCTTGCTTTATCTGTTCACTCTTTCACCCTTCCATGCCTGGTGCCAAAACATTAAATCAAGGCTGAGACCTAGGGGTTTAATAGACTATACATTTCAAACGTCTTAATTGCTTAAGGACACCCATTGCTTTTTTTTTGGTTCAAGGGCCCAGATATCATTTACTAAAACCTGCTTTATGGGGACCTCTGACCTTCCAATAGGGAATAATCATTAGACTATCGTTCTTAAAACAGTACACTACAGTAAAGTCTGCAAAAAACTACAGTACATACTACAGTCATATCCACAAAAACACTACAGTGAATACTATAGTATTTAGTGTAATAATACTACAGCATACTATATAATATTTTTTCAGATGGGTGGCGCCAATCTGTCTTTGGGTTGCCAGATAAACACCATTGTGTATTATATCTACAATTTGTATTTTGGGTTGCCAGATCGGTTGCATTGTGTATTTTTCATCTGTATTTTTCGTAGCTGTCTATTTATCAACTCAAACCAATGCTGGCACTAAGACCGCATTCAACGAGCTGAATAGGGCCATAAGCAAACAAGTAAATGCTCACCCAGAGGGGGCTCTCCTAGCGGTTGGTGATTTTTATGCAGGAAAACTGAAGTCCGTCTTACCTAATTTTACTAGCATATCAGTTGTACAACTAGAGGCGGAGAAAAAAAAAATAGATCACCTTTACTCCACACACAGAGATGCAGCTCTCCCTCGCCCTCCATTTGGCAAATCTGACCATAACTCTATACTCCTGACAAGCAAAAACTCAAACAGGAGGTACCAGTGACACCGAGGCTAAACTACAAGACTGTTTCACTAGCACAGACTGGAATATGTTCCGGGATTAATCCGATGGCATTGAGGAGTTAACCACATCAGTAACCGTCACTAATAAGCACAGTGACCGTACGTACATATCCCAAGCAGAAGACCTGTATTACAGGCAACATCCACACTGAGCTAAAGGCTAGCGCTCCCGCTTTCAAGGTGCGGGACACTAATCCGGACGCTTATAAGAAATCCGGCTACGCCCTCCGACAAACCATCAAACGGGCAAAGCGTCAATACAGGACTAAGATCGAATCCTAGTACACCGGCTCTGACACTCGTCGGATATGGTAGGGCTTGCAAACTATCACGGATTACAAAGGGAAACCCAGCCGCGAGCTGCCCAGTGACGCAAGCCTACCAGACAAGGTAAATGCCTTCTATGCTTGTTTCGAGGCAATCAACTCTGAACCGTGAATGAGAACACCAGCTGTTCTGGACGACTGTGTGATCACCCTAAAAATTGTCAAAGACTCCAGCCACCCAAGTCATAGACTGTTCTCTATGCTACCGCATGGCAAGCAGTACCGGAGCGCCAAGTCAGGACCAAAAGGCACCTGAACAGCTTCTACCCCCAAGCCATAAGACTGCTGACCACTTAATCAAATGGCTACAAGGACTATTTGCATTGACCCCCTTTTTTCTTGCACTGGCTCTATGCACACTCACTTGACTCTACCCACACACTCACACATGCTACATTGACACTCCAGCACACACACACACTACATACGTTCACACACACAAAACACACACACACAAGTGTATATTGACGCCACACACACACACACTTTCACACTCATATATGCTGCTGCTACTGTATTTATTATCTATCCTGATTGCCTAGTCACTTTTACCCTTACCTACATGCAGTGTTCCCTCTAAGCTGCATGCGTGCGTGGCCGTACACCTCCTCCAGGACTGCCGCACAGAAGAAATGCCATGCTGCACAGAGACGCAAGAGATTGAACTTCACTGAGTTCACCCCATTAGTTTGCACTATATAGATCAACGTTTTTTCTGTGATCTAATCAATATTATATCAGTCCCTTTTCAATGCAACAAACCAAAACCAATGTTATTTTGTTGTGTTACTATAATTTTTATTTTATTTTGCTTTTTAACTCTGCGTTGTTGCGAAAGGGCTTGTAAGTAAGCATTTCACGGTAAAGTCTACACCTGTTGTATTTGCCGCATGTGACAATTACAGTGTGATTTGATTTGTGTGTAATATCTACAATCTGTCTTTTTGGGTTGTCAATACAGTCAGTCATTAAGTGTTATAGCTCCAATCTGTTTTTTGGGTTGCCAGATCTGCACGATTGTGTCTAACATCCCCAACCTGGACTTTCTTAACCTGAGTATGAACCCTCTGAGTGGGATTGAACTGGAGCCAGGCCTGGCTGAGGTGTTCTCCCGAGTCCGCCGCCTGGTCCTCATCAACACGCGTGTCACGTGGGACACGGTACACACACTCACACGCCAGACCCCAGAGTAAGTCATGACAGATAGTGGACTGTGAATCACAAACCAGACACATGGCACACGTGAATAAAATGTGGTGCCTTTTGAGAAGTGTAACCTAATTTTAACATTGTCATAAAGAGGACATGTTCATCTTCATAAAAAGCAAGTTCTCCAATCTGAAGAGGTAAAAAATAAAGGGGGAAAAATGATACTAAGTGCCAAATAAAGTAACAGGGTTGACCGTAAAAGGGTTGACCTCACCTGCTTTTACATGGATTTTACTATTACATGTTCAATGTTTCTTATGAAGAAAAATATATTTTAAAAAGGAATAGTTATACAATATTAAAATGAGAGTTTAGTTCACGTAACAGGGTTGACCTTAAAATGAGGAACAAATTAATCACTAATCACATTAAATAAATAATAACCTACAGAAATTACTTTGTCAAAGCAACACAATAACTAGGGCTTTACAATGATGGTGAAAACCTGGATATATTTTGGGGTTAAGTGGGTTAAAACTTCCTAGAAGTGGCACAGGGTTGACGGAGGGACATGTCAAAGTGGAAATTTGGCACTTACTAAGTATTTTTATATATATATATTTTTTTCAGATTTATTGAATGTTCTATGCGGTCTAAATTAAAGGGCACTTCATTTAATATAACAGTCTTTTAAAATGCAATATTGGTGCACAATTTCTACTTAAAATATCAAAGGGACGCAAAAGGCACTCTTTTCGTGGAACGACCCAGCTAGTCTGATAGTCTGATACTCATACTATCTCTCCCTGCAGATTGGAGGAGCTCTTCCTTTGTTTGAACGATTATGACCAGGTTGCCGAGTCCCCGGTCCCCTGCCCCTCCTTGCGCCTGCTCCAGATCACAGACAACCAGCTACAGGAGTGGAGTGAGGTGCGTAAGTTTGGGCCGATGTACCCGTCCCTGGACACCTTGGTGTTGTCCAACAACAGACTCAGCTCTGTGGAGGAGGACACACCTCGGGACTCACTGCAGCGCCTGTTTCCTAACCTGCGCAGCATCAACCTCAACAACTCAGGTTTGCGAAGGGAGGCTCATACACATGCAAACACACACACGCACACAGCATGAACACACACACACACACACAGCATGAGCATACTTAAGTGATAATGCTTGAGAAGCCGGTGTTTGGAGGAAATATTGGCAATATATCCTCCAAACACCGGCTTCGAGGGCATTATCACTTTTATACAATGGGTTACCAACATATTCAAATAAAGATGTACATATTTTCATTAAAAACGTTATTTGGATTAATTTATTCATACTATTTCATCCTTCCACAAGATATAGTCCCAACACAAATCTATGGTTGCGACCCAAGCCGGCTGTTCTAACGTTCTATTGGTTCGGTTGCCAGAGACGCGACCCAGTCATTCAGTCTTTTTGTTCTGTATCTATGGAGGTGATCCAGTCGTTTGTTCTAAGTGTTCCATTGCCATACTGGCTGGCAACGCTCTTATCCCTTGCTTGCTAGCTAGCCAACTACGGCTAACTTAGTCACGTCAAACATTGCAGACAGAATAACAGCAAAGTAGCTGCATTTGCGTTTGTTTAAGCTGTTTTCTAGTGACATTTATTTGGATACATCATAACAATGAGCTAATGATGCACGATTTCGCCTGGCATAGAAAATGTGCTCTCTTGTCAGGATACTTATTCAGAGGAGCTAGCCAACAACACAGCTAACACAACCACTTCAAACTGAAGCTGGAAAGACAGCAAACTAGCTGCACTTCATTTCGTTTGACCGGTTTTCTATTGATAGTTCTTTGTATATATCCATAAAGATCATGATTTCGACTGGCTGAGAAATGTTGCTTGCCTGTCTGTCTCATCCCGACTCCCGACACGTTCATTACTATGGGACATCTGGAGATCAAATTTGAATATTTTAACAATGTTGCAAATGTCGGAGAGACAGACACCAATGTTTATACAAATCTTTGCTGTTGAAAATGAAATGTTAGTCTATAAGAAATGTGAGATAATGTCTAGATACTTTTTATAGTGGAGATCAAGTTTATAAAGTGCCTGGCTGGGCTGATTAGACAGTGGATTGCGCAGTCAGATGGAACAGAGTAAATAGGCATTTTAACATCATAGATTTAGCTGATGGTAACTTGTGGAATAGACACTGGCTGGAATGCGGTTTTAACCAATCATCATTCAGGATTAGACCCACCCGTTGTATAAACACAAATATCCCTCTTTCCTCTACCCAATAATACTCTTTCCGTCCACTTCCTGTTTTCCTTCCCTTTTCTCCTGTTCTTACTCCTCTGCTTCTGTACCTCTCTCATGCAGGACAGGGAACACTCTGGAAATCAGTTGGTCTACTGAGAAGAGCTCAACTTCTGTTACATTCCAATGTATTTTAACACTACATTCTGCATTTTAAAGGCATTTTACCTCTTTTTATATAGGCTAAAAAAATTAAACTAATATACGCACTCATTCAATCACTGAAAGAGCACTCTATGATCAGTCTGATGTGAAAATAGATTAGGACTATATATTGTATTGTGCTACTTCCGTACTCCATACTTAATACTGTATCCTGGGCTTCCATAGAGAACGAGTGCTGATAGTTTCCATGTCCGTTGGTGTGTATGTGCATGCGTGTGTTTGTGCGTGTGTCCTAAAGGGCTTAACCGATGGGAGGACATAGAGAGGCTGAATTTCTTCCCTAAACTGGAGGAGGCGAGGCTGATGGGGATTCCCTTACTGCAGCCCTATACCAACAAAGAGAGACGCAGCCTCACCGTGGCACAGTGCGTACACACAGACACATACACACACATTTAACATTTACATTTTAGTCTTATCCAAAGTGATTTAGTTAGTGCATTCATCTTAAGATAGCTAGGTAAGACAACCACATATCACAGTCACAATAGCAAGTAAAACTTTTTTTCAATAAAGCAGCTATAAGCAAGGTCAGTGCTAGTGAGAAAAGGCAAGTGCAGGTGTTAGTGCAAGAAAAGTACAAGTACAACGGTAGGGTGTTAATTATTTATTTGTTCTGGTTGGGGGGGATTATTCAAGATACCTTTTGAAGAGGTTCACACAAACACAATTGAATACACACCTATTTGATTTGTGTAAACATATCTCACACACACACTCATATTCTTAGTTATTTTGCAGGTTGCCATCTGTGACTATGTTGAATGGGAGTGTGGTGACGGAAGGGGAAAGGGAAGACGCTGAGAGGTTCTTCATCAGACATTACCTGGACTGTTCTGAAGAGACGCTGCCTCAGAGGTACTGTTGACACACACACACTCTAGTCTGAGGTAGAGCTACTGTATGTCAGAGGAACTGTAAACACACGCACACATTTTTCTTCTGATAAGAACAACCTCTTATCTGGTTCATAATAGCACTAGCACTCCTCTGAGACACCTACAGTTGAAGTCGGAAGTTTACATACACTTAGGTTGGAGTCATTAAAACTCGTTTTTTAACCACTCCACAAATTTCTTGTTAACAAACTATAGTTTTGGCAAGTCGGTGAGGAAATCTACTTTGTGCACGACACAAGTAATTTTTCAAACAATTGTTTACAGACAGATTATTTCACTTATAATTCACTGTATCACAATTCCAGTGGGTCAGAAGTTAACATACACTAAGTTGACTGTGCCTTTAAACAGCTTGGAAAATTCCAGAAAATTATGTCATGGCTTTAGAAGCTTCTGATAGGCTAATTGACATCATTTGAGTCAATTGGAGGTGTACCTGTGGATGTATTTCAAGGCCTACCTTCAAACTCAGTGCCTCTTTGCTTGACATCATGGGAATATCAAAAGAAATCAGCCAAGACCTCAGAAAAAAAATTGTAGACCTCCACAAGTCTGGTTCATCCATGGGAGCAATTTCCAAACACCTGAAGGTACCACGTTCATCTGTACAAACAATAGTACGCAAGTATAAACACCATGGGACCACGCAGCTGTGATACCGCTCAGGAAGGAGACTGTCTCCTAGAGATGAACGTACTTTGGTGCGAAAAGTGCAAATCAATCGCAGAACAACAGCAAAATACCTTGTGAAGATGCTGGAGAAAACAGGTACAAAAGTATCTATATCCACAGTAAAATGAGTCCTATATCGACATAACCTGAAAGGCCGCTCAGCAAGGAAGAAGCCACTGCTCCAAAACCGCCATAAAAAAGCCAGACTACGGTTTGCAACTGCATATGGGGACAAAGATCGTACTTTTTGGAGAAATGTCCTCTGGTCTGATGAAACAAAAATATAACTGTTTGGCCATAATGACCATCGTTATGTTTGGAGTGAAAAGGGGATGTCTTGCAAGCCGAAGAACACCATCCCAACCGTGAAGCACAGGGGTGGCAGCATCATGCTGTGGGGGTGCTTTGCTGCAGGAGGAACTGGTACACTTCACAAAATAGATGGCATCATGAGGAAGGAAAATTATGTGGATATATTGAAGCAACATCTCAAGACATCAGTCAGGAAGTTAAAGCTTGGTTGCAAATGGGTCTTCCAAATGGACAATGACCCCAAGCATACTTCCAAAGTTGTGGCAAAATGGCTTAAGGACAACTAAGTCAAGGTATTGGAGTGGCCATCACAAAGCCCTGACCTCAATCCTATAGAACATTTGTGGGCAGAACTGAAAAAATGTGTGTGCGAGCAAGGAGGCCTACAAACCTGACTCAGTTATACCAGCTCTGTCAGGAGGAATGGGCCAAAATTCACCCAACTTAATGTGGGAAGCTTGTGGAAGGCTACCCGAAATGTTTGACCCACTGGGAATGTGATGAAATAAATAAAAGCTGAAATAAATCATTCTCTCTACTATTATTTATGACAATTCACATTCTTAAAATAAAGTGGTGATCCTAACTGACCTAAGACAAGGAATTTTTACTAGGATTAAATGTTAGGAATTGTGAAACTGAGTTTAAATGTATTTAGCTAAGGTGTATGTAAACCTCCGACTTCAACTGTACCTCAACAGCAGACAGGAATCACTTTGAGTCAGTACCACTCAGATATCTCCTACCTCTCTCTGCTTATGTTAACACTCCCCACAGTGTTCTAACACACCTGACATCGCGTAGCATATTGTCATCTCAGGACTTCCCATGATGGGAATTTCGGGGGGGGGTTTGGGCCCATGCTGAAAAACGAATCGGCCCACGCTTTTCTCCGGCCACATTCCACTTAACCTTAGGAGAATGCGAGGGAAGGATTTTCATGGGGAAAGCGCAGTCCCTGACTGGGGGAAAGTAACCTTTGTGAGACAATGGCGCCAGTCTCTCTGCCCACTCAATGACTTCTTTGTGCCTCCGAATACTCAGATCGGAAAACCGATACACAAGGTGGCAGGTAGATTATTTTTTTGACCTCCTCCTTCACTCGTTCACTCGCTCTCTTTTATTTTCCTTTAAGGGGGGGGGGGGGATTGAGAGCTTGACTCATTTCCCTGTGTAACCAGAGCTGACGTAGCTCGGCACTGCGCAAATATTGCCCCCCTAATTATGTGGGGAAAGTGCCTTTTTTTGTGGGGGGGGGGGGGGGGGGGGGGTTATTTTTCTCTGCGGGTGTGTTTCTACCAGTGGACCAATGACTCCAAACCAACACAGCGTCCCCACAGTGTCTCAGATTAATCAGGGTACTGCAATGGAAGTGTTTCAAAGCTGCAAACCGCTCTCTTTTGGTTTTCTTTTGCTCTGTTTTCCTCTCTGTTTAATTCTCTTTCTCTCTCTCGCCTTGCTTTTAAACTGCATTTACTTGCTCTTGGGTCTTAGCCCGTTTCTTTGAGCAGGGGTGGGTGGGTGTGTGTGTGGGGGTGGATATGGATTTGAGCTGACCAAGGCTGTTGTGTGCGTGCGCACGAGTGTGTGTTGGATGCGGTCAGTGAGCAGTGGACAGGACTTAGGCGGCCGGGCTATCCCCTTTCGGCCCGGGTCCAGAGTAACCCAGGCCTGCCCCCGGGTCCCTTCAGAGATCAGAGCCTGGGGAGCGGGTCACAGCCTCTCAGGTGAACACTGGTGAACACGGCAGCCTGCAGAGATCTGACAGACAGCTGCCTTTTGAATAACTGAAGCCTTGGCTTAGCCTCTGTCTTAGTCATCGCTATAGATGACCCAAAAAGACTGTGTATAATAAAAATGCTGAGCTATATTGTATGCAAAAGATTTTTCGAAATTATATTATTTTAAACTAATACAATTGCTCAGAGAAAGAGATTCTGTTGTTTCTGTTTTCAATACTCTAGCACCCTCCCCTTGCGAGGATAACGACACTGAGCCTTTTCCTACAATGTTTTATGAGATTGGAGAACATGTTTGGAGGGATCTTAGACCATTCCTCCATACATAATATTTCCAGATCCTTGATATCCTTCGTCTGTGCTTATGGACTGCCCTCTTCAATTCAAAGCACAGGTTTTCAATGGGGTTCAAGTCCAGAGATTGAGATGGCCATCGCAAAATGTGGATTTTGTGGTCAATTAACCATTTCTTTGTGGATTTTGATGTGTGCTTGGGGTTATTGTCTTGCTGGAAGATCAACTTGTGGCCAAGTGTCAGTCTCCTGGCAGAGGCAACCAGGTTTTTGGCTAAAATGTTCTGGTACTTAGTAAAGTTCATGATGCCGTTGACCTTAAAGGCCCCAGGACCAGTGGAAGTAAAAAATCCCCATAACATCAAAGGTCCACCACCATATTTTACAGTAGGTATGAGCTACTTTTCTGCATATGCTTCTGTTTTTCAACACCAAAACCACCACTGGTGTGCATGGCCAAAGAGCAATATTTTCATGTCAACTGATCATAGCACCGCCTGGAGTTTGATAAACGGAATTGGCACTTGGATTTGAACCAGTGCTATGGTCAGATGACATGAAAATATAACTATTTGGTGGTCGTAAGCGGCTTTCTGAAACGGGTTGGGGAGATTGAAATGATGCGAGGCTGGAGAGTGGAGAGACGGGGAGGCTTGGGGTAAGGAGAGTGAGGGGAGGGGATACAAGATGGGTGGGGTGAGGAAAGAGTGGAGAGAGAGAGAGAGGAGTGGGTTTGAGGTAAGAAGAGAAAGAAGGGGCTACAGAGGGGTCTGGGTAAAGAATAGGGGGGCGAGAAGGGAGTTATAAAGAGGAAGGGGATTGTGATGTGAAGAGATGGGGCGTGGGGTCATTATTAAGAGACAGAGGAAGGGGATTGTGATGTGAAGAGATGGGGCGTCGGGTCATTATTAAGAGACAGAGGAAGGGGATTGTGATGTGAAGAGATGGGGCGTGGGGTCATTATTAAGAGATAGAGGAAGGGGATTGAGGGCATACCGGGGAAGTGAGGAAATGCAACGTAACGCAAACCTTTTAGCACGTCATCGCTCAACCAGGCAGCTGAGGTGGATTAAAGAACAGAGAGAGAGGCATGAAATGCCAGACGATAAGTCGCTAATGGATCTAGGGTAGATACAAGGTAAGGTATTAGCCCCAATACTTTTGTCCGTGTATAGAAACACAGGTATTAAATTAATGCCACAGCTTTTTTCAGCCACCACACTAAGCTAGGACCATTAAAAATGCCATTTAGCATTACTATACCTCCATTATCTCTCGCGATGTTATTTACAGAGGTGTATGAGTGGTTAGTTACCACATTAAATGAGACCTTTTAAGTGAGAAGAAATGGGCTTCTCACAGAATGGCACTTTGTGCACTGACTGAGGCCTTAGAGGAGAATTCCCATGGCGGTGGCACACACACACTGAAACCCTGGCCAGGCGGGGTTTTGGGGGAGGGAAGGGGAAATTGCTTTGATTGGCCCAGATGGTATAGTAGCTTTGAAAAGAGAGGCTTTTCTCTGGGATTTTATTTAATCGTTCCTGGGTTCCTTATCTCTAACTCCGTGTTCCCTCTGGGGGGGGGGGGGGGGGACGCTTTCTCACGGCTGAGAGAGGGGTAGAGGGCTTGCTGTGTTTTCCGAATGAGCACACACCACTCTTAGCGAGCACACACAAACACACACT